AGACAAATCACAACAACGATTATGAATATGACCTCAATATAATAGGGGTCAAGGTCGGGAAGTAGGTATATTCTTTTTTATCAATAGTTGTCGACTTAATCCTCGATGCAATGGAATTTGGTGGTTCTAGCGTCTCAATTCGTAGGGAGGTGCTTGTGTGGGGGATGCGCCCCCAGAAATCGAGCTTGAAGCTCCTTGAATTATGAGTTCATTACATCATTTCTAACAAACAAATTTGAATAATTTTTTGGTCATAAGACGGATAATATTTTATCATGAATTTGTAGTGCTTAAACACAATTCAACTTATGCACAGACAAATATTACTAATTAATAACATTTGATAAAAGAATATTAAACAAATCGACTGCGAATGATTTAACTGATAATAAAAATCGGCTAATGAAAACCCGAGGAACATGATTCAGGAAACGACATCGTAACACACTCCCTCACCTCTCTGGCTATCACGTTTCTCATCGCATCCCAAAACCCTGTCGGAAAAGTATCATTCGGCCTCTCCGCCACCACATCTGCACCCAACCCAGGCGGCGCCAAGGACAATGTCGTCATCGGATCATATTCTTCATTAAAATCATCACTCACAGGACACATTCTAGACCCAGAAGATACATTTTTTGTACCATAAGTTGATTTCTCTAGAACTTGTTTTTGCAGGTATTTTCGTTTCAATGTCGAGTTCCAGTGGTTCTTCACCGCATTATCAGTCCGGCCGGGGAGCAACCGCGCAATGGTGGCCCATCTATTTCCGTACTTCGCATGCGCCTCCAAGATAGTCTCATCCTCCGCCGTGGAAAACGGGCGGTGCTCCACTGTTGGACTGAGTTGGTTGCACCACCTCAGCCTGCAAGATTTACCCGACCGACCCTTTATGTACTTGCTGATCAATGACCAGTTTCGGGCGCCGTATCGCTCCACCATCCGGGTCAGGACCTTATCTTCCTCCGCACTCCATGGCCCTTTTATTCTCTCCGATTTGAGGAAATTTCTGGGAGTCTTACTTCCCGACAGAGAAGATTCCGACGAAGAGGAGTCCGAGGAAGAAGAAGTAACATATGAACACCTGTAAAATGAGTCCATTTCTTAAAAGTCGGGAAATTTTCTTGAATCAATATTTATCACTAGACAAAAAAAATTGGAAGTTCGTAGTTCGAAATTTGGCTTGAGAGTTTTGTGCAATTGAGGATTGGAAGTATAAATAGAGGGGGAGGGATTATATAAGCACCAGAGAAATAATTTGATAGGGTGCATGCACTTTGGTTAGGCTTCGGGTCCCATTCTTGTGGGGTGGGTTCTTGGAAATTGCCTCGTGTAAAGTTGGTATGGGTGTGAGTCTTTTTATGCAACTTCGCACTTTTTCATGCTTGGGATTTTGTATTAATAGATCAACAAGAGATTTGCCGTCCAAAATCTGCTATTCAATTTGCTGTCTGTTCAATGAATAATTGACATATTATTTTAAATTAATATATTAATTTTTTACAATTTTGAGTAAATCAGTTTCAAAGTTTATGTGCGTTCGATTCTTAATATGATTGAATTGCTTGCTAGAGCCTAATGAACTATAAAACTATATTAAAACTTCAGTTTCCATTTATCTAACATGTATAAGCAATTTAAAACTTAAAGATTAAGCTCCCGTTTGGTTCTTATTTTTCAAGTCAAAAAATCAATTTTTTATCATTACTTAATATGGACAGTCGTCATTTTTTACTTTTTCACTTATCGATGGGACCCACTTTTTTATCTAACGATCAGAAAATTATTTCTAAGAATTAGTACCAATCAGGCCCTAACTTTACTGTGTACCACGCTTTAAGAAAAGAGAATATTATAATAGTGTCAAATTTCTTATCTGAAGATTTGTCGACCCTGGTTCTGTTTCGTCGTTATTAGTAAAATGACATATTTGGATAGTGCGACAGTACTAAATTGTGATATGGATGAACTTTGAGCTAAAGGATACATTGAATTGGGCGTATATTTCGATGTATACTAATTTGTCTTATAGCTAAGATTCAGAGATTAATCATTGGTGGCTATAAGATACTTGTACTCTCCCCGTACAACATTCAACGAACATTTGGGTTCTTTGTAATGAGGATAAAATTTTGTAAACAAGCCTATATAAAAAATAAAAAATAAATAATAAATAAAAAAAGTTGAACCCAACCTCAAGCGCCCCCACCGTCTCGTCCTTGGAGTATCGTGAGAGAGGTTAATCGCAGGATGTACTCCAGTAGATAAGGGAACAAAAGCTGCATGTACACTGATACCTACAAAGAGTCTCAATTCATGTTTTAGGAATTAAACCCTTACACTGCAGTTATTAGCAAAATTGAGTATACCTCACCCTTATCTTTTGCATCACTGGGATATGTCCCGAGAGACAAACAAGCCTATATAGATTATGGACAATGCTGTGTGTACGTGGACATCCCTCCATGTGAGAGGGGTGTAAGACCGTGTGTACACCGTAAGGTATACATAGATTATAGGCTCTTAACATTAATGCATACTATTAATTATAGATTGTAGACTCTTAATGTTAATGCATACTATCTACATAGTGTATGTTCGATCGACATTATTACTAAATTAAAAATTATTTTTATTATTTAGTCAAAGTTAAAATTTAATTTCTACAACACCTTTCCAACCATTACTTACTATTATCTACGCATTGTGGTTTGTTAACTATAACTAAGTAAAAATACATTTAATTTGATACGATCAAATATTACAATAGACAAACGTCTCGTACATCTCTCCTCTTTAATCTTGTCCTCTCGACATTTTCAAAAACTCGTGTTTTTGTTTTTCATGCCCTTTATACCAATCTCAACGAAACGGTAATCACATTAATCTTTATTGTCATGTTTTAAATCACCCTGCTTGCTCGATAAGATTGAGAGCTTTTAATAACATAAATTATATTAAAGTTTAAATTGAGGACATGCCTTTGATCCAAATTGGTTATTTGCAACTTTTTAGAAATTTATTGGGAGAAATAACGGTGAACATGCAACATGTTCAATTTTGCCCGATCAAGTTATAAAAGAGAACAAACTTTCAAATTTTGAAACAATTATCAAGATTTAAAATTGGAGCCAAAAATATTAAGCCCTCGTTTGGCATCCATTATCTTTCATTTTTTTTGCTTTTCTTATTTTCAATCGCACAATTTTTCATAAAATAATATTACACATAAATCGAAATTTTTTCATTTTTTTAACCACACATTCTTAAAAATATATATATATATATATTCCAAATATTAAAATTTTAAAAAAAGGGGACTAGACGGGAACTAAGAGGTGGACACCAAATTGGAGAGAGAACACTTGGGAACACTCTTGTAAGAAATAAGTTAAAAATTCAATCAGCAAAGTGTATTATAACATGGTACTAGAGTTACATATGCAAGGGTGAATCCAGAATTTCGACTCAGCTAGGGCGGTCGTTGATCGTTAGTCATTGACTGCGGCCATATAGCGATATCGTTTATTAATATTAAATTAAATAATATTATAAATTCTTCGATCTATATGTAAATACACTAAAACGTAAAAATCATATATTTATATCATATTATAGTTCAATACAATCCGAAAATGATATAAATTGCATGATACAAAAGACTTCTTTGTGTTATCAATGCTCAACAAATTATTTGCTTGATTAAAGGTAGTTGAGAGATTAGATACACCACTACAAAAATTAGATTGATATTTAGTTGAAAAAATCATTCCATAATCAGTGTGAGAATTGAAAGTTAATCAAAGATTAAACGTAATTAAAATTAATTTTAAAATATAATTGAAGTTTCAATTTACAAATCTCAACACCAATTCATCACAAATTATAAATTTCCCAATTTATCATTTTCAATTTTCATAAATCACATAGTCACATTTCGCGATGCTCAAATTAATTTTTAATATCACAATTCATAATAGACAAATTCTAAAATAACATCTAAATTAAAACTCAATACTTATAAGTCATATCTTATAAATTATTAAAGCATAAAATATTTAATATATATTATTTTGTTAGATTAAGATTCAAAATTCAATCATTGCTATGGTATTTAAGCTTCCAATCATCTCAACTAGAGGTTATAGGTTCGAATATTTTCCTTAGAGAATTAATTTTGGTAAATATTGTAGAAATAAAAATTTTACATAAAAAAATGGACGAGAAGGACTCGAACCCAAGACTCATAATATATAAATGCAAGTTCTAACCAACTAGGCAAAAGAAAGATTTGATAATAAAATGAACTATTAGTTATATAACCTAAAATTTTTATCTATTATCAACAAAATAAATTCTCCCTGACGAATCCAGTTAGAGCGGCCACCCTAATTGGCCACCACCTAAATTCGACATATGCCCTCAAACAAAAAATTTGCAATTGTATAATGCTCTATAAGTAACATTGGATCATATAAATTGTTATTATTATTATTTTTTTATGACCTTGGGTATTCGGGTCAATTTAGGCGCACCTTGACCAATTTCATGGGATCCTAAATTTTACAATTGAGAGCTCACATCAGTGGTTCTAAAGGGATTCTAATTAGTGACCATTGGGAACAAATCCAAGTATGTGTGTGTGTATATATAAACGCACACATGCACTCACTCACTCACACACACGTGCGAATGTATATTGGATCACTTAATTTGGCTCGAAGTTTCAAATGATGAAAATGTTCGAGTAATATTGTTCATCATTAGTTGTGATGAGCATAACTTTACATGCAGAAATTGAATTGCACCGTGTCGAACCATACCAAGCCAACGTAGCATTGTCCAATTTATCCCTTGTTTGATCCCCATTTTGGGTAAGAATGATTTTTTGAAAAGTGTATTGATATAAAATGTGTGGTTAAAAAATAAGAAAATTTTTTGAATTTGCGTGTAATATTATTTTATTGAAAAATGTGTGATTAAAATAATGTCAAAATATTATTGAAAAATGTATTTTCTCCAAAGAATGAGGCACAAACAAGGACTTAGAGTGAATCAACATTACTTATTGAACACCTTGAAACATGATTAATTAAGCCCCCATTTGGCCCTATTCTATATAAATTTTAATGGCAGGAATAGTGTCTTTTTGAAAAAATGTGTGGTTAAAAAAAATAAAATTTTTTAATTTACGTATAATATTATTTTAAAAAGATATTGTGATTAAAAATAAAATAGAAAAAAAATGAGAATGAGAATGAGAGTCAAACAGGGCTAAATTTGTCCCAAGTTTAAAATAACTCAAATTTTTCTTAAAAATAAAATGAAAAATCCAAATCCCAACCCCTGACGCTGACATAGACATATCATTTTTGTGTCACATCCCACAGTTTTCTATAATTTAAAACATGCACAAAACATAACATCCAATACCAATTACCAAATTTGGTTGGCACTTGGCTATTTGAGCTCAGGACAAAAGGTACAACACCATCCATGCACGCGGAATTGGAGTACAATNTGGAGTACAATTAATATTTGCATACAGCCAAAATAAACGAACGGGTTGGAAGGGAACATTGTGGGGGCCTCTTGATCATGACAATCAATCTGGCGGCTGAAACTAATTCTAGCCTTATAATTAACACCAATTATTAGCTTTAAATTGGTTCCTTCAAACTAGTCAATAATACATTCCTAAAACATTTACCACAAAATTCACAGGGAAACCTGTTTGGTCAGGCTCAAGGCCAGGCGGCGGAGGTGGCGGCCCCCTGTTGGCAGGGAGCCTGTTGCTGAAACTAATTTTAGCCTTAAATTTAACACCAATTATTAGCTTTAAATTGGTTTTTTTAGACGAGTCAATAATACATTCCTGGAACATTTACCATAAAATTCACAAGGAAAACCCTGTTTGGCCGGGCTCAAGGCCAGGCAATGGGCGTGGCGGCCCCCTATCGGGGATCAGGCGCCCCACCAATAGGAGGCCACCACGTTCGTCCCCTGTTTTTTAACCTGACTTCGAGCCTGGCAAAAAAACAGGGCTCAATTCACAAACCCATTGCCAAATTCACTTATTTACCTAATTTTAACAAGTTGTCTACGAAAACGTACTTGATATGTTGCAATCTACTTGCAAGAATTGTCTTCTATAATACTTTCATAACTAATCGGGTTACATACTCTTACGCAATTTGATAGGTTCAACAATTTT